CAAACTGGCCTAAAAAAAAAACCCGTCTCTCAAAAAAAATAAAAAAAAAAAAAAAAAAGACAGAGATTTAACTCTGATAGAGCACTTGTGTAGCCTGTCCAAGGCCCTGGTTCCATCCCTAGCACCAGCAAAGGGAAAAAACAAGCTGATGATTGCCCAGTGGGGGCAGTCGTGGAACCTGAAGGAGGGAAGGGGAGCCCAGACGTGGTTTGCAGCCTGTCCCGCACAGGGGGAGCTAAAGGGCAGCAGGGACTGGTGCTCAGTTCTTCAGTTCTTTCCCAGTGACTGCTTTCAGCCTCCTTTTTCTCCTCAGAGGAGGGCCTGAAGGCCAAGGGTCCTCTCAAGTCAGTGATGGTTTTGTAGAAACAGGGCTGGGGAGTTGCCTTCCTGTGTGTGCACCCTTCCTGCGTGCATCTCTTGTTACAGCCTCCTGTGGGCTGAGCAGCAGCCAGGCCCACTGCACCTGAGCCACCCTAGGTGACTGCTGGCAGGTGGCACCTGTGGAGGGGTCACGGAATGAGAAAGAGGAGGGATCTGAAACTCTGGGGTTCTGCAACTGGCTCACTGTTGCAGGTTAAGGCCAGCCATGCTGATCAGTGTCTGAGCACAGCGTCATCCTTCTTTTCCATATAGAAAAGTGGAGGCCCAAGAAATTAAAGTTTAGCTCCTACCTGCAGGTACGGCGGGCGAGTAGCACACACCAGCCTCCTTACCATTCTCCTATGTTCCTCCTTTTGTCCTGCCTCAGCCGAGATCACAGGCATGCGGCCCAAGCCTGGCCTGGCCACATCTCTGTCCATTGGAACTGCGTCTCTGCTCTTACTTCTGTCGTCATCACTCCTCACCTTAGTTTTGACAAAAAGCTGTAATTTGAAATGTGGAATAGATGAGAGGGGTGTGGAAACTTGGCTCCTTTGTCGTTAACTCCAACTTTATTTTAGGTCTCTGGAAAATAAAGATAATATTTTTGTGCTTGGGGAAATAGCAGCCCCTAGGTGGTGAAAGTTGCCTAAAGGAACACGCACTGTACACGGGCACAGGAAGGGGTGCAGCCTGTTTCCACACGTCAGGGCACTCCAGAGAGTGCAGCTCACAGGGGAGAGGCTGGGAAGTGTGCCAGGCACAGACTCCTCAAGAGCCCCAGCGCCCCCAAGTGCAGCTGCGACCTCACTCCATCCCTGTCACCCAGCTAACAGCCACTTCTGCCGGGGGAGATGCACTGTGGGTTTCCCCTCCAAATATAGACTAATAAAAGCAACACTGCAAATTCTTGATTATTCCCAAATTGGACAAGCTCAAGCGTCCAGAATTTTGTAAACACTCTGTATTGTGTTTTTAGGAGAATTTAAGGGCGTGGTGAGAAGGCAGAAAGTCTGGGGTTTTGTTGTTACTGAGCACGTACACCATTCACGTGAGAGTCAGGATGATCAGTCCGATTTCTCCCTTCCTACCTGTTCTTCAGACCGAGCTGGGTCCTGGCCAGGCAGCTGCTGGGCCTCCCCTTGCCCTGCCACCACCCCAGGCCAGAGGCTTGAGGGTTCCTTTGTGAGCAGGCGATGCCTGCACTTAGGTGGGCCCCGCTCTAGCCCAGTGCTTCTCAGAGCTAGTGCCCTGGGCTCCTGCTAAGATGGCATTGCCAATAGAGGGATCAGGTCAGGTGAACCCGTCTCCATCCAGCTCCCTGCAGCGGCTGGTGCTGTGGCCCACTGAGCCTCCCTGCACCTAAGGTCTGGCGGCACTTGGAGACCAGCTCTCTTTCAGTGCTGCTGGAAAAATAGCCATGCAAGGGAAATGTGTGCCCGCTGTGTCCCGCTCACGCCCTTGTCTGGACTGCTCCTTCCTCTAGGATTGTCTCAAAGCCTGCCAGGAGCAGATCGAGGCCGTGCTGCTCGACAGCCTGCAGCAGTTTCGTCAGGAGCAGCGCGACGGATCCAAGTCCGAGGACGAACTGGACCAGGCCACCACGCCCACCGATGTGCGGGACATCAACCTGTGAGGACGCTGCGGCCGGCGCCGTCTGCTCTCGCCTTTCTGATGTTTGGTTCTTTTGTGTTTTAGGATGAAACTTTAAAAAAAAATTCTGCCCCACCTAGATCATATTTAAAGACCTTTTAGAAGTAAGAGAAAAAGGTCCTATAAAAATGGAATAATTAAAAGCATTTGGTGCCTATTTAAAGTACAACATAAGGGAATCCCTTGTATATTCGAAGTTACTGTTTGATTATGTAAAAGTGATAGTAAAATGCTTCAAGAAAACCTGCAGAGTAGCTAGAAGACAAGCACACCTGCAATATGGGAACCAGTTAGGGGAGACTCTGTTTTTGATGCTGTTGAACTAGCACCTAGGCCCCTTTTAGAATAATTGCAAGAAATGTTTATGCCATCCATGGCAAGAGTAGATTGCAAAGCAATGAACTCGAGGAGGAATTAGAAGCGAGGAGGGAAGCGGGGGAGTACAGACCTGTCCGCGTGGCAGCCGTGTGTGTGAAGCACCTTCCTGCAGAGCCGTGTGTACCAGGCAGCGTGTCGGGTTTGGCCGGGGCCTCTGAGCCTGTACTCGTGCTGCAGTAGCTGCTGCCTGGAAGGTGTGGTGTTGTGCCAGTGGGCCACGGGTGATTGGCTCCTGGGTTTTCCTGTTTGGGGACTTCCTTCTTCTTCCAAACCTGGTTCATTGCAGGCACCCCTGCCGCGTAGTTAGCTAATGGGGAAATGTAGCTGTGGGCTGTGGCCAAAACTCTGAAGTGGAGGCAGACAGAAAGCAAGGCTGGGACCTGGAGTGGAGTCTCCTCTTCTGTAAGGGAGGGTGAGGTGACCTTGCAACCCTCGGTTGGGAAAAATTACTTTTTGGTGCTGATTGGTGTGCCTGGCCCATGGCGTAGCCTTGTTATAAACCATTCCATTCGAAAAAGCACTTTGAAGCATGGTTCCCGAGGGTACATGGGGTGGTTTATGCAAATCTCGCTGAATACTCCTTCCCTCTTCACCCCTCTGCTTCTTGGCCCGGGTCTAGTCTGTTCACTTCCGGAATCGGACATCACTGGTACAGAGCTCTGGAGTCCCCTCCCGGGCTCAGGAGATGTCCTTGCCGCTGACCTTCCCACCACGACGTCCCCAGACCCTCCTCAGCTCTATTCCCTTTGTCACTCCTGGAAGGATCTGAACTCCCATGGTAGCCTTCTCTTCGGGACGTGGAAAGAAAAGCGACTGCTGGTGCAGCGGCAGGGGACAGCAGTGCGGCACTTTGCCCCTTTCCTTGTTTTGTTCATCTTACTGCAGTTGTGTTCATTGTACTTGAACTTCCTTTTCTCGGCGCGTCTTAGAGGCATTTGGTTAGAGGTTGGAGCCACGATTTTTTTTTTTTTTTTTTTTTTTTTC